GTCCGTCACCATATATTATTATTATTATTATTATTACATTCAGTCAAACATCGAGCGCGGCGATAGTTACCGCTGCGGACTGCAGTCGTCACGTGCGGTTCAAAATATTATAGTGTGACAACTGAAAATGTTAGGTTCTGCCACTAGAGATGCATGATGCGGTATATAAAAATAACTCGGAAAGTACCTAGGTACCTATTTGGTTTAAACTGAGTTTTTTTTTTACCGAAATGAAGCTTATCGACTGCAATATTATGACAAAGTGAAAAAATAAAATATATTAATCGTGTTCGGAACATCAAGAGGAGGCCGGAAACATTAGTTGTTCTCTTCTGAAATGCATGTTATCATTATCCAGTGGATCTACTGCGGTCAACTTGGTTATTGTTTTTAATAACTCTATTCCAATGTTGAAAAGTGCTTAGCGTATGGGCAGGGTGGGCAGCTACCCATACCAACATTTCTGGTGCCACTTATTGGGGAAAGGGGAGGAAATGAGGAATATTATTCGCAGTTAAAACCTAATTATAAATCTACTGTTGCCCATACGAAAATGTAGTCCTAGAACCACGCCTACGTACACGAGTGAATTTAGATATCCACATGAAAAAAATCACATACCGACAGCACATAACAAATCACACATTGGCAGTCAATGGAGCTGGGGGGGGGTGGGGGTGGGAAGCTCATGTCCAGTTTTGAAATAAACATCTCAAGGCAAACGTAGGTACGGTGTGCTGTGTCCCACATCATGACAGCGATTGATTTGTCATTAAAAACCGAACACAATGGCACTTATCACAACCCACTCCGATAACCAGTAGGTACCGAAGTAATATAGTCAAATTAAAACCATGTGTCTCTCATCATGGCGGACAAAAGTTATAATACAAAAGTCAAATCTCCTACTAATTGTTAACTACTGCAAGATGACCTCAACTTAGCGTGAAACGCTGGGAAGATAGCCTAGGGCTAATACTAAATCCCTTGAAATGTTATTCAATGCCATTCTTTAAGTAATTTTCATGTTCCTCTTTTCCTCATGTCTTACTCATGTTTAACATGCATCTGTTGTGATTGTTGGTCATTGGATCGATTCCCAACATTACGTGTTCGATACAAATTGTATTATCCAAGTTGCGAGCGAGTTAATTCAATATAGTTTAAGAGGGACGTTGTCAGAATGCATGATCTTAATGTATCTTAGTCTTGGTGACTTATATAATCTTTGTCACCACGGGTACTGCGATATTGTCTTATCTCGTCGATAATTTAATTTTTATTTTATTACAAATACAAATATTTAAAATAATATTTTGGTTAAGAGTATACATCATTTATTAACATAAATAATGAACAAAAAACTTAACGATTTAAAAATGTCTTACTTCTTAATCTTTTAAATGGTGAATTCCTGATTTGAATTAAGATGGTCAGGGTATATTTGGATTTTTGTCCTATTATTACAATAATTGTTGTTCGCATATACGAAAATTGGACATTGATTAAGAACTACGATGAAATAATTATATCCGTACAATCATACAATCTGTATTAAATTAGTGGCACAATCACCACGAGTGCTAAACGAATACTAAAAGGACATGACCTACATTTATTTATTTTAATGTATGAATAATGAATACATATTAAAATCATAATAACAAAAAAAAATTCAGGGAAATCACTCTACTGTAAAGCACGATGTTGTATACCTACTATATAGTTACCTAGAAAACGACTCTGAGAGAAACAATGTGTCACTCATCAGCAATTTTTTTTTCTATAAGTAGGTAGTATACGGTATGCGTATGTTGAACTAGTTTTTCAAAAATAAAAACATTGCATACCTGTATTATTATGTTTATTATTATTATTATTATTATTATTATTTTTTTTTAATAGAAATCAAGAATATATACAATTTGTACAGTAAGTAATATGGGGGGGGGGGGTCCAGTAACCCTACTTCATAAATATTTATTATTATAATATTTTGTCATACATTATTGTTATTAAGTTATATTTTATACTGTAGAACGGTTTCGATTGTTTTGATGTATACCTAAGGTTCTTAATAAGTTACCTTAGGTATATATAGTACATTTCCAAGCTTTAAATATTAAAATTAAAAATGACAAAATAATTTTTCAAATTTTTAGCTTCGAAGTTCAAACGATTATAAAATAAAATTGTTTTTGGTATTTTTGCAGTAATTGCTGTAATAACAGCTTATGAGGAACTTTGTACTAAATTGCAAAAATTGCCATATACAATTTTTTTTTTACGAAAAAAAATTTACAATGTCTACAAATACTAAATAGCACAAAAAGAATCAAATGATTTTGAAAATTATATATTATCTAGAAAATAAATATTTGGTAAAAATGTCACATTTCTAAGGTTAGGAATACTTAACATCAAAAAAACAAAAATATTTTGTCGATAAAAGGTTTTTAGGATTCAATTTTCTACCAGACACAACAACTAAGTTTGTTCATTTATTTAATAAATAAAAACGTAATAATTAAATATACGTATAGAGTTATTAAATTATTATTTCTTATGAAATGAACAGTTTTACCTATACATATAATATTGCAATTAATTAAAAAACAGATAAAAGAATCTTGATAGAACTATAAAAGTATAATAATTGAGTGAGAGTTTTTTTTATAGTTAAGACAATAAAATGAGTCTAACGCGCATTGATTTAATCATATTATAATAGTGGTTATTCCTCGTTTAGTCATTTAGTGGCCATGTGATTATTTATCAGTGTGCTTAATATTTTTGTTTACTTGTCAGTTGTAGTTATTGTTAAAAAGGACAAAATGTCACAAGAGAAGGAAATGAAATCTTGTTCTGTAGACTAAACCGGTGACCAGAAGCATGCCATAATCGATTTAATGGAGTCACGCCATCATCTGCACCTTGCAAAGGATGATAAATTATTGTATCATCTATTTACACGTCTATGGGAGAAGTTAATAACAGTGTTACACTATAAAACGGACCAGTTAAAAAATGACGTTAAGTAGGTATTTCAATCTTTAAACATTTTGAATTAATTAGTTAATATTAAACAGATATAATTATTTAAACTTGTCATGATTTGAAAGAAAACGGAAAGACAAAAATAGTCAGTTTTTTGCCGAACGCTGACATATGTAAGTACATAACAATCTAGTTTTTATATGAAGTCTTTCAAATTAGCCCCATAACGTCGTCGATTCTTATTATTTGATATTACGTACAAATTTACAATCATATGATAGTCATAATTATTAAGCACCTACTAAAACTATGGAATTGTGTAGGATATATATATATATATTATATTACATATTATATCAAAAAAAATACTGACAAAATACTGGGTTGAAAAAATTAGAGAAAGAGACTGCAGCAGCTGGCTATGTGGAATATTGATTAAGGAGAAGAACGACGTGCTCGACAATCATTAAGAAAAAAGATTCAACTACCTCAGCAGAAATCAAAGTCGAAGGAAACAAGTGGGTAATAGCTGTAATAACAAAAAAAGTATTTTTGCTTTGATTTAAGTGTTTAATTTTTTTTTTTTTATAAGTCATGGCGATCCGTCTTAATACTTTTATACCTATACTTGTAATAGGTTGCAGGCTAAGTCGTATTTGGCCATTGTACTTATTACATATTAATATAAATATGAAAACCGACTTTCCCATTGGTACTTTCCCAGGGTATACTATGTACTATGGGTTGTTAATATGAGAAAACCCCCGTATATGTACGTCGTATCTGAACTTTGAATATAATATGAAACTGTTGTAATTATACACATTATATTACAATATACAAACAGAGCCTCGTGCTTGTGTACGCGTAAAAATGGTTGAGAAAACTCAGCGTGGCCGAGAAGGGGAAGGAAGGGACGCCCCAGAGCCTCGTCAATATTATGAAAAAGCAAATATAATAAACGTCTACCGTGCTAGAGTGTATAGGTGTACGTATAGTGAACACAATATTACAATATAGGCGTGTAATACTATACATATAGATGTAGTGACGGCGGCCGTCGTCTGCGCGAAATAATTGTATGCAAACACTGCTGCACTAGTTGGTAGGTATAACATAATATAGTCGGAGGTATTATACCAATATGTACAAGAAAAAACCACTATGGTATTAAAATACCTAGATACCTGTATAACTCTCGTGGTCGCCCCGTTTTCGAGTTGTACAATAATAATAATAATAAAGAAAAATATCGAAACGAAAAGAAGTAAATTATAAATAATGAGCTGCGATATAACGCGTGTAACCTGTATAGCTACTATATATATATTATATATATATACATATAAATGTACATAATATGCCTATTGCCTATACCTATATATTATGTTTATGTAAATAAACTACGGCTATAGAACGACTTGGGTCGTCGTCGAGGCAGCAGCTGACCAGGGACTGAAATACATGAGTACCTCAGACCTCTACGGCTCTACCTACACACATATATAACATTATATAGGTACGAAATTTTGTATCCACAACTATAGGCAATAGGCACCCCTTCAAATTTGATCGCACGTGGAATTTCAAATAATCCTTTACACGCTATATACTTCAATTATCGAGTGGTGAGGTATTCTCCATCCGATCAGCAGGCGGGGAGGGTCATCAGTTGTGTATACCGTATTTCATATTATTTTCGTCGTCGGTCGGATACGCTCATCTTCGTACACGATTCGGTGGCGTGAGTTGGGATAATTTTTTGGGGCCACCAACTCGGTACTCAGAGCTCGCGGAAATCAGTGTGTGACTTTGGTGCAATATAACACACGTATTTTGTTTAATACATAAAATCGGGTATTAATATAAATTTATACCTGACAGTTAGTATATTATGTACTGCTCAACGGTTTAATATTTCAGGGGCCGAAGAAACACATTAAATATTATATAGTTTTACTCACTCCTAGCATCGCGGATTCGTCCTGAAGGCGAACGCGAGGATGTCGCCGAATGACGATGATATCTTCCGGAGATGGACCACGTTACGACGGAACTTCTTGCCCAGAATGTCACCGGCGGCTGTGCAGTTGTCCGTCGGACGAGCGGCGACCGTTGCGAAATCGTCGTGCGTACTTATTGATGAGTACACCAGCCACAGCACGGTTCACGGAATGCGATACATATCCAAAGCCAGTCTGCTGGAGAAGTGAGTCGTTTGCAGTCGTTATAATGGATTAATATTTTGAAAACAGATTCACGCCCTGCAACTTTCTAGTAAAAAAAAAAATTGTTTGCTAATTATAATAGATACCTACCTATATTATGGTAGCACGTAATTTTTTTAGAAAAGCTGAACATTTTAGATTCTGAGTGAAACGATGAATGTATTGATTTTACAATGATGTGTGTTTTTTTTTTTATTTTTTTTTTTATTTTTTTATTTTTTTTTTATTTTTTTTTATTTTTGTGTCTGTCATCACGTTTTAGGACAGTAAAAGTGCTTGGATTTTCTTCATCAGTAGCTTTTCTGATAGGAAAGTGAATCTAGTTGGTACTTTGGGGGGTCAAAAGTATAAATTTCCCAGTAGTTTTCACAAGCGCCGGGAAAAACAACATAAAAATTAAGGAAAAACGGGAATTTTTACGCAAAATCGTATATACATGAAATTTTCACTGGTTGTTTATATTTGCATTTTCTATACACGATAACATTTTCAAAATATTTTGATTTATTTTGAACTGTTTAGGGACATTTTCATTTTTCATTTTTTTTTAGTTTTTTTTCTAGAAATATCAATAAAATTTTATTTGTTGGTTGCGAAAGCTTGAAAATTTAATAGAAGGCTCCTAATATGTTGTTTCAAAGGCAGATGAAAAATATTAAAAATCCTTAGTCACAATTTTTTTTATAAGCACTTAAAGTTCAAATCTTGACAAAATATGGAAAAATCACGAAAATTAGCAAATTATTTTGAGTTAAGAATTCGTAAAAATTTTTCTTTTTAAATCTAAGATTTGAAAATTTAACACAAGATTCCTTATAAGATTATCTACCTTTATCAAAAAAAAAAATGTCTATAAGAAAGTCAAATTAAATTTTTATGAGCGTTTGAAATTCAAATTTTTACAACATTGAATATTCACTCGATTTCCCATGTAGCGATTTCCTTAGTTTGTTGTAATTCAAAAACAAATAACTGTAGATACATGAAAATTTCACTGAATGTTTAAATTAGCATTTTCTATACACCATACAATTTTTAAAATATTTTGACTCTTTTTGAGCTGTTTATGGACATTTACAGCTTTCAATTTTTTTTAGTTTTTTTTTCTATAAATATCAATAAAGTTTTATCTGTTGGGCCAAAAAGTGTAAAAATTTAATACAAGGCTCCTGATATACTGTTACAATAGCAGTTGAAAAATATTAAAAATACATAGGCACAGTTTTTTTTTTATAAGCATTTAAAGATCAAATTTTGACAAAATTTATCAAAATCTCGAAAATTATCAATCATTGAAATTAATAAATTATAAAATGTTCAGTTTTTATAGCTAAGGATTGCAAATTTAAAACAAAGGTTCTCATAAATAGTTCATACTGTAACCAAAAAATCTAAAAAATATATGAACACAGTTATTTTTACAGACATTTTAAATTCAAATTTGGACGAAATTACATATTAAAAAACCTAGAATAACTATTTTAGTTATTTTGTTGTGATTGAATAATATTATTCGTGGGTACTTGAAACTTCTAAAGTGTACTATTATATATCTATGATAGTATCACGGTTTTGTTGATGTATAACGCGTTATAAGTACCTAATGGACATTGTGATATGATTAATTTGGAATTTATTATAGGTACCTATTATAGGTCAATTTTTTGTTTAATACCATAGATATGTATATAATATGTCTTAAACATAGACTGACATACCGTCTCCGCTCAGAATCGTTTTTCTTATACAATGATATTATATCGTTGAATTCAAATTTAATATCATCCATTATACAGTGACCCACTTGTAACCTACTGTACAGCAGAGCGACACCCACTTTTTTAAAAATTGGTTTCCATACAGCGTCAAGTAAAAATATTTCCCGAAAATAAAACTTGAGCTTTATGTCGCTTTATCCACCTAATACGTTTATATATAACTATATTTTTATATCTTTTTTTTTTTTTTTTTATTTATTTGAAGAAATCTACAATCTATACATGCTTTTTGTACAATAAGTAGGTTTGATATATGAAAGGTAAAATATGATATGAGTAGTTAGATTAGGGAAGATACCCAGTGGTAACACCCTATTATTTTTATATCTACAGGGGTAATAATAATTATGGTTTGACTTGACGCTTTTTTTTTGTCAGTAGAATTTTCAACATTTTTCATATTTTTTTTTTTAGTTATCATTTCGTTCCATCCACTTACTATTAATTCTGTATTCTAAATATTACAATAGTATCATTCCACAGTCTAATAATTTTATGTAAATAATATTATACCTACTTTATATTAATAATAATGATAAGAGAGGGGGTTGTAACTTGTAATAAAGAACACTCCTTAGAGTATATTTCTACACTTCTTTAAATACTTATACATAATTAACTATACCTGCCCATGTCCTATAGGTATTAGTTCAATATTTTAAATATATACCTACCTACATTTTTAGAAATATTTTCAGCTTTGATTTATGAAATTAAATAATATAATATTAACAGTCATGTAGAAATCGATGTAAACATATAATTCTACATGGCTATATCCAGTGGCGTTTCTGGTAGCATACTATACTATAATATAATATAATATAGTATAATATCTTAAAGATGACACGGCATATTAAGCCACCTTCGCATAATACATCGTAAAAAATGTATACATTTTCTAATTTATTCAAAGTCAAAATTACGTTTCTAGTATCACATTAAATACATAACTCGTTGATTAATTCATTATGAAAACTTAACTATGGTGTAAATCTATAATTTCTACAACTTAACAGTTAGGTAATAATTAAAAAGCCATCTATTGAAAATTAAAATTATTTTTAATTTCAAAGTTTTGATGAGCTTTAAAAGTACCAACCTATTTATATATTAATTAAAAATTATTTACACCACATTTTATATGGCTATCTTGAATATTTTATACTCAAATATTATTTTTAGAACCAAAAAAACTGATAAAGAAAATTAGTTACAAATTTATAAGTTGTATAAGTTACCAAATTAAATATCTCAAATGACCTTATACATTTCAATACCTAATATATAATTACTATAAATAATAATATTATAGAAATCATGGTATTATTACAGTTATATATGATGTGTGCATCATAATTTGTTACATTATTACATACTTACTGCTGTGCAGCACCTATATTGGACTTAGGGGCTATATATCTATACAAACCTATATTCTTCGTCCATACTATATATTTTCAAAATTGTATTTACTTTTTAAATTACCATTACTCGCGATTTTCATGCTTGAAGTATTAACTGGAAGTGGAGACTGAAAATATGTCTTAATTAGGGTTAAGATATTTATGAATTTTACGGATATTTTATTTTTGTATACCTTGTATGTAATTTTTTTAAACTTTAGATTTCATAGGCCAGTTAAAAAAAATTGATATTATTAACCACGAATGGGTGCTCGTTCACTCTATACTAGTGCTTTTTTTAGTTTTTAAAGTCATAAATATCATAAGACATAATTACATAAGTCATAGTTCTAATTATAAATATATGCATTTTTTTTTTTGAATTTACGTATCTATAATAAAATATTATACATACGTCTGCAGATAGGCTGATAAAACATTTTGCCATCTTGATAAAATAAATGCCATAACAAGATAACTATCGTTTTTTCACATTATTGTATTTATATTTACCTACCTGCAGTTATAGTTATATAGGAAGCCGATAGGTACTTAAATGTATGTACAATTTTTACGTAATTTTAAAATTATGTTGATCAATCAAAAACTAATCATACAAATATACAATGAGTTACGGGTGCTCAATATAATAATAATATATATTTATATAATATATGCTGTATGAACAAACATATTTTGATTCATAAGATAAATTTAATGGACCAATATAATTATAACAATATAGGCTATAGCCATATTATAGGTCAGTCTATAATCTATATTTGATGTCTGAGCCGTTCAAGCAGTGACTGTTGACTGTTGAATATTTAAGTACCCATCTGTTCAACTCTTATAACGTATTATACGACCGTATACCCTGCATTAATATTTCAATAACAATGAATAAGTGTATTCAATAAATTTAATTATTTAAATATGCTAGCCTAGAACATACCAGCTAGATATATATTATTGTATATAATGCAGGTAGTTTCTATACGGAGCCAACTTCGTATCGTTATTTGAGTATAATATTTATTCAACTTGAAACAATTGGTCATTTTTTCCGACACATGGCTGTCGCAAAATAAATATTTCATTTTAAAAAGTTTCAAATTGAAATTAATGCAATAAATAATAATATTATAAGTACGCTCTATTGATATGCATAAATACATAATATAGGTATAGGTACGATTATATTATATGATACTTGTTAGGTGTTTGTTATATAAATAAATGTAACGATTCTGAAAATCACGAATAAATGTGTACCTTCGTTATTAACCCTTTAAGGAGCAGCCTTGGAATACGAAAATGTGTGCCTTGGGAATCTACACACATTATGTTTAGCAATGACAAATTTAAAAAAAAACTAAAAGTGGAGAAGTGTAGCAACGTAGTCCGTAATGATAAATGAAAATAAATCAATTGAAATCAATTGATTAAAATTAAATTTCACAGATGGCATCACATACTATTTTATATAAGATATTTTACGGTAGTTTAATCAGACGAAATACAAACAAAGAAACAAAAATAAATTAGCATAATATAGTATGTCTTTGCTCTTTTTGATAGCGATTTTAAAATCGTATATATATATATATATACATTTATGCTACTCAAAGGGTTAAGAAATAAATAAACGCATAATGATAATATTTATTTGTGGTCCGTAAAATATCGGTCTGAAACTAAAATAAAAAAATATGTATACAAAAATGTCTACTCAACGACTACATAATTACTACCTAATTTGGGTATTATTCAACAGTCATGCGTCACCATTAGACTTAAATGGATAAACGCTAAACGATCTTATGCATACAAGTTTTCATAATATATAAGTGAATAATCTATGCCATATTATGAGCACTTCCTTTACATTCCTCAACTTCGGTGAGGTGATTTTTTAGTAACGGTAAAGAAAGATCGGAGGCGGTTTTTAGCATTGATTTAAGTTAAATTTTGTACTCCAAAATACAAATTATTATTGCTAGGTGTTACACCATAAATATGAGTTATAAGTTAATATAATAGTGATACTCTGAATCTATTAGGTTTTTTATTTCGATTTCTGGGTACAAATCCTATTCAAAACACATTCATACTCAGTTGTAATGCTGTATTATAGTCTTAAAGGTAGGTATCTACAATCCTAGTCTACTACCGATATAACATCAATCTTAATATTCTATAACACCGTCGTCCATACATTATACAATAAATTTAAATTCCATTCAGTTTAACGGCAATGTATTATTTTAAATTTATTATTAAAAAAAAATCCCCATATTAAAATATGAGAGTATGTAAGGAATTTGGATTGCGTTTATAGAATGCCCAATGTAATAAACGTACCCATAAACAGGGTAAATTACAGAACATTAGAATTCATAACATTGTCGTTTAATTTAGAGAATATAAAAATAACTCAAGCAGAGTTATAAAGTGATATGTATAGTAAATAATTATCATCATTTATCATTTTAACATAATTACATATTAAATCAAAAAATATCGACTTATTACAACTTATAGAAATTACAAAAATACGTTTACATTTCAATGCAAAAGGAATTAATTTTTTTCTTACGTCTTTACCTACCTTACTTAATTATATTGTAAATATAATTCAATAGGTATCTATAACTTTTCAAAACCCGATATCAATTTTAATTAATTTAATAAAATATTTATTGTTATATGTCTGTCCTTAAAAAAATATTTTCAAAAATGTTATACATATACAAGTACCAACACTATTCGTAAAATCATTATTGAGTTAATATCCAAAATATAGTAATATAACTTAAGTACCTACAACCTACCTAAAGAATAGTAAACTCCTTTTTGAAACAAAATCAGAACATACAATTTCCGTTTTATGAACGTTACGTGGGTATAAAAGTAGACAGGTACTTACGTGATGGTGGTTTATAATTCAAGTAAGAAGTATTTCTATCATAATATATATTAATATACATATAAAGGGAAAACTTTTTAAGAATATTACATGTTTTAATATAATTACTTTATACATAACAATTGTTCGTTCTAATGATATAATATGAAAATATTTTAATCCTAGTTTTTATTAAAGCTAGGTATGGACGTATGGTGGTAAAATATGTAGGTACACCAAAAATTACTCTTTCATTATGTGACAATATAGGTAATTAAATAATATTATATTGTGTTATGGAACATTGTTTTCGTGTATAAATATATTACTATAAGGTCATAGTTTTAACTTTAAAAGTTATAGTTTAGTTGGTTCCTACTTTCTATAGTGATGTATCAGTGTAAAGCATAATAAATGAGTAACTATAAAATGGTAAAGAGTAAATTGCTAAACTTAAAACTTAAAAGACATTTTTTTTAAAATAGGTTCATCATTATTTAAATAAAAATATATACCTAACTAAGTTATCAAATCTTGATATCTTCTCCACTGCTAGGAAAAACATTGAGTCATAAATTTAATGTTTTTGGTTATAGCCAGTGAGCCAGTGGCGGAGCTAGGGGAGGGGCACACTGGGCCACTAGGGCACCGCAAAGTGAGAGGCCCCGCCATTATAGTTAAAGGCCTTAAGTTAGGACTCTAAAAACTTTATTTTTCCAGGGACCCCAGAAAACCTTCCGCCGTCACTACTCACTGAGTAGTGAATACAATATACTATTATTAAGGATTACCTAATAAAGTAATAACTAGGTAATAATAAAAAAAAACTTTCCATAAACTATCTAGGTACCTACCTAATGAATGGGAAAGGTATTTATTCGAAATATCAAATGAAATCAATTATTAAAACAGCAATTTTATATGGAATCCCTGTACATTGTTTCTAGGTACTAATTTTCAATGAGCCAATTTTTCCCACGGAGTATTATATTCTATACAATTTGTTTCCAGAATTTTTTGGATTACAATGTTAACCATTTGTGGACTATCAGCATGTTATATTGGCAACCAGTTTTGGCTCAAGTTCCGTTCCAAACCTACACAACTGGCAGTTAAAGACACCCATGTGCCTTTGTACGAGTTTCCTTTCCCTTCGATTACCATCTGTCCAGCAATAAAGGTCAAAAAGACAGTAGGTCTTGAATACTTTTCAAGGTAATAAAATCATCAATTATCAATGCAATATACTTACATCGATAAAAGCTACTTTCCGTTAGGGGTTTTAAGTTTGAAAAACCCTCCATTCGCAAAATATACTATAATATGTAATAAATCTAATAGATATCTATTATTTTGTAGGTACATCAGTATCGACAACGATACAGTGCGAACTGGATTATTGAATATAATGAGCGCCTTATCGACGATGCAACAGCCGACTTATTTTCGAATGGCGGAGTACGTAGATAAGGCCAAACACTTGTTGCCCTTGTTTAGAAATATAAACCTAACTGATTTTATGTTGACGACACTGCCGACATGTAATGAACTATTTGGCCGGTGCAAATGGCACGGCGAAATTATATCGTGTTGCGAAGAGTTCTCGCTTCAGAGGACCGAGGAAGGATTTTGTTATTCGTTCAATTCTCTAACTTCCGAAGCTGGAAAACATTGGTATGGGCAATGATCCAATGAATGGTGATATTATTATTTTTTTTTTTTTTAATATAATAAAAAATATCATTAATAAATTAATGCCAATGCAATTCCAAAGTTTGGTAAAAATTTACAAGTTACATAATTATGTATATAATATAAATGGATGTGTATGAACAGCAGTACAATGGAATATAGATTAGTAATAAGGGCAGTATTAGTAAGAACAAAAAATATTAAAAAGAAGAACAAAAACAATGCAGTATTTTACATATAAATTACAAAACTGAAAATATAGTATAATTGTGTCAAATAAAACTGAGGTAAAAGATAGGTGTTAATGGTATATTAAATTAAGTAGGTAACAAAGTTAAAGTGAGTTATGAAAATGTAGCATTCTGTGTATTAGGTTAGGTTCTGGGTATTAGGGTGGTTATAGTTCGTACGGTGAGAAGGGATGGTGGTAGAGCAACGAGTGGTCTCTTGTTACATAGACAGGGACACAAAACAACATACATAATAGAAGATCAATGGCATGAATTGAGCCATTTAGTAAAGAGGAGATAAAATTAATGTCCGCATCAAGATAACATGTGGTAAGAGTAGGAACATATTTTAAAGACGAGTTAATATTGAAGAGGCGGGTGAGCAATTTTAAAAACAAAAACAGCGTACAAATGTCAAAATCTCATATATCGTTGTTCAACAATCATATTAATAATTATAATATATGATTAATTAATAAACACACATCATATTATATGCTTTCACAGCCCTCTTTCCGAAGTGTTAGAAAACGAAGGCATCGTTGAAGAAGATGACTATATGTATCCCGGATGTCAACTGAGGAGAAATACCGCCGTAGGTACGGTCACGGGTCTAGAAGTGTTTCTGTACAAAACAAATATGTCCGAATCGCTGGGCCTGGGACAGCGTGACATAGACGGTGCTAGGGTACGAACGAAATAAGCAAAGCCAAATGCTTATTGCTTAAGACGGTGAAACCTAAGTAATTATTATTCTGATCTTAATAATACTTACACACAGATCATGATCCACACGTCGTACCAGTTTCCAAACGCGGGAGATGGTATATGGTTAAGGTCTGAACAAGGCCGACGACTGAATATCATGATTTCACCGGTGATAACCGTCACCAGCAGTCGGGTAAAAGATCTGAGTGTGGAGACGCGGGGCTGCGTGTTTCCGGATGAAAGGGAGTTGTACATCTATCACGTGTACACGCAGAGTTCGTGTCTGATCCAGTGCCGCATGGAATTCATCTTGTATACTTGCGGTTGTCACATGTATTTTTTCATAACACCCGGTAAGTAAAGCAGTGTAACCGCGTAGACATAAGCTAAATGTAGTACAACATTCCTCATAAGTTGTTGTTAGTGGAAGTTAAAACAAAAACTACATTTATTTTTTGTAGATGATGGAAAACCAATGTGTGGTATAGCAGATCTAACTTGCATAAATCATAATACCCGTGAGTAAAAATAAATTACTATAATAATAATATAATATGATATTATAACGTGTGAAGAGTCTTCAATATCCAGTGCTTGAATTATGGTGGTATAGGGGGGAGACGGAGTAGGTACTTATTTTTTAAAAACGTTTTAGCGTATACCCATTTAAATTCTATCCTAATCAATAAGACTTTTAAATTTTCAGGTACACACTCAATTAACATGGACACATAGTTAGATAGACAATATAAATAACAAAAGTTGCAACTCATAATAATATTAAATTACGCGTCATATATATATAGAGAATATTATATTGGTGTTCAATTCAATCATACATAGGGATTGTATTAACTACGTCGCCCCATTTTTACCAATACATTCATTAAATTCTGATGTTAAGAATTTTAAAGCATAGGTACAAAATTTGATATGTAGCCATTTGGATTTGTTTTATGTAGGTAATTTAAGAACTTAAAACGACACAATGTTTAGCTTGTTAAGCAGATGACAGTTTTTAAAATGCGATGTATCGAGTTAGCCTAATATGTATAAATTTACCTATAGTTATACAATTGAAGCAGTGCCCAACTTTACAATCACACATATTATAATAAATATTATCTGTTTATAAAGTCTAAGTATTATTTATTAGTACCTAATTTGTTCTGCAGGTCATATTAGAATGCTAACTCCACCCAAAGGTACTCCTGGTTTTGAGGCTCGGCTCATACGTGATTCACTAGATTGTTCACAGTGCATACCTACTTGTTACGAGACAACGCATGAAATCGAGATGGAGTCGTCTCCAGATCAAAGAACGTCCGTTTGGAAACTGTTCAGCTATTTGGACGTGGCGTATGGAAACTTAGGTTCCAAAAAATATCAAAGGGACATAACTTTTGCTTGGACAGATCTTTTAGGTGGGTATATTTGACCATCGAAGAGTTGATTTATCGGCTTATACGTGGTATAATTAATATATAATCAGTGCTTGAGTTAGAAAGAAAATGCGAAAGTGTAAAAAAAAAAAATGGGCGTATCTGAAGATTTAAATTATCCCATCGATAATGATATAGTTAGAAGAGGTAAGCTAATATATTTTAAATAAATAATATAGAAATTCATTCCTCTTTAAATTCAAGCGCTGAATTTATATATAATAGGTACACAGCTAGCTGTACAATTGTGTATCCAATTATTTTAGTTAAATTTTTTATTTACATTGCAGTGGCACTGGGAGGTGTCGCCAACTTATTTTTGGGGTTCAGCATACTGAGTGTAGTCGAATTCATTTATTGGACGCTGAAAATATGTGTCATTACATTCATTAGACTGTGCAAATAGCATTAGTATCCACTTTTATATTATATTATATTGTATAAACGCGTAGGTATATCATTATAATAAACGAATTCAAACGTATATTACTTAACTTATTGTGTAACGACTGGTGTTTATCTTTCAATACATCCTACCCTTAATTATAATATATTTTATACGTTCAACATACAGTAAAATACACAATCATAGCAGGTGAGTACCTATACCCGCAGTTACCAGAAACCCGTCAGTCGTGTTTTGAATCGAGCGTACAAACATGAACCACAAACCGGGACCAACGTTTTGGAAAAAAGAATTCGCTTGGTCTTATTCAACCGTCGAGAGACTGGCAATAGCCAAGACTAAACGGCTGGGCAATATTTTCAGAGAATACGCTCGTTACTGTACCGTTCACGGAGTCCAATACATTTTTAAAGATAATTCCAGTGTCATTGAACGGTTTGATATTATTTAAAATAATTTTATATCGTTTTGACGGTAAAACACACACGTTCCTCTATCGGCGCCAGGGTTGGCTCAAGCCAAAATAGTGCATTAGGCAAAATCAAATTTCTCAGCTTTTAAAATGTCAATCTTATCACTGTTTGGAAAATGCAACCCCCCTACTAAAGTTCCGATCTAGGCCAGTTCCCAACAGGTCACCTACACCTTGAGCCGGCCCTGATCGGCACCACAATAGTCACACATCTACGAAGACATACCTATACGTTATTTCAGGTGCGCTTGGTTAATCATCGTGTTGACCAGTTTTGTTTGCGCTAGTATTTTGGTACATACCATGTGGCTAAAGTTCAACTCCTCGCCGACAGTTACCGCGGTCAAGGACACGCACTTGGCGTTATACTCTCTCCCGTTTCCAGCCGTCAACGTCTGTCCAATGGACAAGATAAAACGTTTGGTGGCCCATAAGTACGTGGCCGACAGAATAAACGTTTCATATCAAGAGTCCGAATTGGACAATTTCCTCAACGCGTTGACACTATTTCAGCACCCACTTTACAGTAGAATGTTACACTACATAAATAACGGAATAGGTGGTTTTTTTTCCAAATTAACCACCATCAATATTACAGATTTTATGTTACAGGTAAGTGGTACTGTACACGTACTAGTTACCTATACCATTGGTTATAAGTACTAGTGTTTATAATCAATGCCTATACTACTTAGGTATTGTTCAGGTAGGTACGTAATATTTAAAATATTGCAATATACCAAGTACAAAATATAATAGGTGAATTTTGAATTTCTTGGATTACTTTCCTTATTTTCTGCAGGTAATGCCGACATGTAACGAAGTGTTCAACGCTTGTTTTTGGATAGGACACTCTTACAATTGTTGCGACTTGTTCAGCTTACAGAGATCTGAGGAGGGGTTTTGCTATTCATTCAACTCACTGACTTCCGTGAAAAAATCGGCTTGGTAAAGAACTTCTTCGTTAAGCATATTATTTTAAATAAAAATCGATAAGATATATTAATTAGCCGGCGATTACCGGACACGTATTTTCAGTCCCATGTTTAGCACCCTGGAGACTGAAACGGATACGGCTTATACAAACTCTACGAACTGGGAATGTGTACTGAGACGGAATACAGCAGCCGGTTCTACTTCGGGATTGCAAATTTTTTTCAAGCAATTTGCTAAATCAGAACGCTTGATAAACGCTTCTATAATTACTGGTCAACCGGCTGTCAGGGTTTGTGAAAAACGATTAAATTGCGTTACTCTATTGTTAACTATATAGTATATAATATGTAAAGGTACTCAGCACTCAGCAGTGGCGTGACTAGGGTTCAAATCTTGGGGGTGCTACCATAATGAATCATTCACAAATCCATGGAGGGCTTTTTACAAAAAAGACCTGTCACGACCCATTTTTATAGGTTTCGCGACTCAAGATTTGGTAGAGACCCACTGGTTTAGACTTCCTAATACCTTGCTAATTTTTTTACTATAGTTTGTTTGTATTTTATCAAGCTTGTTTTTTTCCTAGTTTAGTAGTTCACAGATATTATGTATACCTACAGGCTACAATAAGCTATTGCATTATCAAATATCTGTGGACTAGTGTCCATAATTGATATAGATATGCGTCTGAAGCACAAATTATTATTATTATTTATTAAGATATTATCACTGATAATTATAATTTTTTATTTTACTTTCTAAGTATTATTTTATTTCTATCAATAAAAATTCAAAAAATAAGATGAATATTAAATATGAATCCATATTCACTTACATACATATAGTTAAATATATTATACTTGGAAATTTAGAATATAATAAAGTTAAAATTTTGTAACCAAGGTGAAATGTAGGATTGAAAAATGAAGAATTGGTGAAGAGGGATGTTTGACCCCCACGGGTCTACATTGAGTAATTTTGCACTTGGAACGCAGCTTATAAATTGCTGGATTGAGCTCTTCTGCTTATAATTCCTAATTAGAGAACTAGTAATAATATACTGTAAATTGTAATATAAATGATGATATTTATCATGTACGCAAGATAACTGTTATGAACAAAAATAACTGATGTCTGATAGTAAAATCTTAAAAAATAAAATTACCTAAATTATTGTTAAAACTTTAGATATTTGAAATTACAAAGACATATTATGGAACTTGAGGGTGCTTAAATTTTAGTTGGGGGTGCTTAATCACCCCCAAGCACCCTCGTAGTTGCGCCACTGGTACTCAGTGGTTGATAACCGCTGGTTATACATAGTAATATTATTTTTATATGACGGCCTTGAGAATTGAGATAAATATTGTTTCGTACACGATCCAAGAAATCATTTGACTTGTTTTTTGCAGGTTCAAGTATTTTATGTGAACGAGTATCCAGAATCCGGTATGGGCAGCATTGTCACGGCAAAGAAAGGGACTAAACTAAGTATTATGGTAAAACCATTTGTCACAATAAGCACGGATAGAATCAAACATCTCCCCGTGGTGGAGAGGTTTTGTTATTTTCCCGATGAACAACATTTGAGTGTGTCGAGGTCGTACACTCAAAAGTCATGTCTTATAGAATGCCGTTTAAATTATTTACACAGAAAATGCGATTGCCGTCCATATTATTTCAACATGCTCGGTAAGTGAAAATGAAAAGAAAAAAGTGAGTAAGTGGGTGACGCTCTGCTGTATGCCTGTACAGTAGGTTACAAGTGGGTCTGGGGTCACTGTAATGGATAGTATAAGTAATAATGTATAAATTTGAATTCAATGATATAATAATATAATTTTATACGAAAAACGATTCTGAGCGAAAACGGTCAATATTAGCCTACTATAGGTATATTACTAAGCATACCTATTTGATGATATTATTGTGAATAAAGTAATTTATTTACCAATGTTTACTTGGAACCTTGTTTTTCAATCCTTAGCTATAAAATTTGAACATTTTATAAATTTTTAACTACAAAATCATTTTTAAATTTTAAATTTGATAAATTTTGTCAAAATCCGAACTTTAATAATGCTTATAAAAAAAAATGTGCCTGCGTATTTTTAATATTTTTCAACTGCTATTGTAACAATATATCAGAAGCCATTTATTCCATTTTCAATCTTTTTTTACCTAACAAATTAAATTTTTACTAACATAAAAAGAAAAAAAACTAAATAAATTGAAATTTGAAATTGCCTGTAAACAAGTCAAAACGAGTCAGAATATTTTAAAAATTGTATCAAGTATAGAAATTGATAAAATAAACATATGATGTAAATTACAAGTGCCTACGGTTTATAATTTGAATAACAACAAAAAAGAAAATCGCTACATAATGAGAAATCGAGTGAATATCCAATTATGTAAAAATGTGAACTTCAAACGCTCATAAAAATTTAATTTGACTTTCTTGTAGACATTTTTTTTTTTTTGTTAAGGTAGACAAACTATTATGAGGAATCTTGTATTACATTTTTAAATCTTAGATTTAATAAGAAAAAATTTTATGAATTTCTAACTCGATTTTTAAGTGTTTTGTCAACTTTGAACTTTAAATGTTACAAAAAAAAATTGTGACTGGATTTTTTATATTTTTCAAGCTTTTTTATCCAAGAAATAAAATTTTATTGACATTCGTATAGATAAAAATAGGCGGGTAAGTGGATGTCGCTCTGCTGTACAGTAGAGTACAAGTGGGTCACTGTATAATGGTATTAATGTGAATTCAATGATATAATATTATCATTGTAACGAAAAACTATTCTGAGCGGTGACAGTTTGTCAGTGTTGATATTTTATATTGTTATTAGTTATTACTTATTATTTATATGGTAGCCGGTAAGTTGAATAATATTATAAAATTACAACAAAATAACTAAAATCATTATTCTTGGTTATATAATACGACGTAATTTCATTCAAATTTGATTATAAAATAACTATAAAAAAATTGTGACTATATTTTTTCAATATTTTTCAACTGATATTGCTACAATTTATCAGGAGCTTTGTATTACATTTTCGAGCATTTTTACCCAACGTATCAAATTTATAACTAACTAAAAAAATTGGAAACTGAAAATGTCTATTAAGAGTTCAAAACAAATCAAAATATTTTGAAAATTTTATCGTGTATAGAAAATGCTAATATAAACAACCAGTGAAAATTGTTTCAGTTAGTAATTTGTTTTAGTTACATTAAAAACCAAAACCGATTTTGTCGAAAACCGATTTCCGGTTTTTCTTAAATTTTTTTTTTGTTTTACTTAGCTCTTTTGAACACTAATGGAATATGGTATTTCGACCTTCCCAATGCACCAACTAGATTCACTTTACCATCGAACAAGACACTGAAGTTAAAAATCGAAGTTTGACTACTTATCGTGTACACAGACAAAAAAAAAAACCACACATCATTGTAAAATCTAAACATCTAAAATTGATAAATATTTGATTTTATTTTATATTTATTATTTATTATGTATTTAATGCATATAGGAGTAGTATTTTTAAGTTTTAATATTTTGTTACTTATTATTAAAATATAACATGTATAAGCTGGTACATAATTTTCATTTTTAGATAATCGTATACCGATATGCAACTCGACACAGCTGTTATGCATCGCACAGCACAATAGTGAGTTACGTTTCTACAGTCCACCGATAGGCAACATAAGAGGTTTCCTGCTGACAGAGATGAAATCACCTCTCAACTGTTCCCAGTGCTTGCCAACGTGCCACGAAAGCGTGTTTGATCTGGACGTGGATTATTCGTTGGATTCGCTGCCACTGACGAGGAACAGTTACGGATCTGTGGACATATTCTATAGGAACGAGGGAGCAGTGAAGTATGAGAGGGACGTGACGTTCGGCTGGATCGACTTGCTAGGTATTATTTAATCTATTGAAATAAAAAATAAACCTACGAGCGGATGAAGTGAAACATATTTTAGGGTTATTCAGCAGTGGATTAAGAATATAATTATTAGATTTTTAATGGAATAAAAAAAAATACATTTTTTCAGGTGTTAAAATAAATTTTTGACAAATTTAATCTGAAAATAATTTATTAATGAAAATGTTGTTATTGATTAACAATTATAAGGGAAGGGGGATTATAACATTTATATTATACATTATAATATTATATACAGATATACCACCCCCCCCCCCAGATATGCCACTGCCTACACTTACCTTCCATATGAGGGGGGCCATTTGAGTTTTTTTAATAGACATGGCAATATTTAAGGAACCCAATTGTTTGTCTTACTCCAGGCTCGTCGTTTATTAATGTCCAGATTAATTACTAATAACTATTATTATTATTTATTAGTAATAGAGATTACATTATTATATGTCTTTTATAGACTGTCATGTATTTATTAATTTTTAAAATTCGATATTCATTTAAACATTTTAAACCATTATAAGCTGTAATGTTCTGAAAAAAAAACTTTATTATTCTTATATCATCTAAACCAGAGGTCTCCACTAAAATTATAAAAGGGCCCAAATTTCAATTTTGAAAATCACTGGCGAGCAGCATGCCGTCCCATAAATACATTTTAAAAATAGGACTCCATTGGGGATATTATTTCCCCCGGTTGTACGGATTCCTGGTTCATATTTACATGAATGATAATAATTAAAAGCAAATAAAATATACCAATAAAATCTAAAAAAAAGTATCTTATTTTATTTTATTTAATCTTTTAAAGTGTAGAATGTTTGATTTTATAGAATGTACAAATCAGTTTTAGTGCGGGCCGCATATTGGGGACAGCTGATCAAGACAGATAACAATTTTTTAAGAAAACAATAATAATAATAACCTCCCATTTATATTATAGGTACTATAATTTTTAATGTACAAATAGCTGGTATTAAATATATTGTATGTATTATATGTATTTGAATCATTCAGTATTACTTATAAGGTATAATTATTGAAATTATTTATAAGTATATAACATTAGGTACATATTATGACAGTAACCCATTTATTTTTTTATGGAAATTAATACATATTGTTTTATTTGATTCATTGAATAATAGTTTCATACTTTTTTTTATGATTATTTAGTGTCATTTGGAGGCATTGCTGGTCTGTTTTTGGGATTTAGTTTGTTGACAATTATTGAATTTGTGTACTGGGGTATTAAGTTCCTCATATATCAATACAATAAGCCTTCTTCATCAACAAATAAGATAACACCTAAATATTAATAATTGCACGTTTATTAAATTATGAAACATTAGTGTTATAAAAATATATTATATATTATAATTATTTAATGACAACTCACATACTGTAAAATCTTATTATAAAACATTGGTATAACAATAATATAATATTCATAGATTAGAAATTACATTTTAACACAATATAACTTATACTTTATGTTTTAAAAAAATATTATTTTGTGAAATATAACAAACTAAATAGTTGTATTGAATATTGAATTAGAGTAATATAGCTTGTTATGTTTTAAAAATTATTTCAAATACAACTTATTATATTATATACCTAGCAGTCTATTTATTTAATATTTGCTACATAAAAATGTTCTATATCAAAAATATGTTTTTCTAAATAAAGTCAATATAATATTCTATACTTCAATGTGTATATAAAATCAACAAGAACTTATGACTACTAATAGCAGCAAAAATAACCATTTTTCAATATATGTACGTCAACTAGAAAAATATAATTTCATGATATATAATTGAAAAAATAATAGATAATTATCCTAAGATATAAATTTATGTATATTATATATACACATCATAATATGGTATAGTAATAATTTGATTAAACGTATATTGAATAAATCACAGGCACCTAATTGATAAACATTATACTTATAAGTAATGAGTTATGGCAATATAAAATATAAACTTAGTATAACTATAGATCATGCATCTTATTGGCATAAATTGTTGTATTATAAAATAAAAATACCTATTAGATTTAATTGTATTTTAAAAAATAAAAAGTTTATTTTTATTAATACTTATGTTAATTGTTCGGTACGACTGAGTATCTTTCAACAAGCAGTAAGTTGCAGTCATCACAAACACGAACAGGTTTAGCAGACGAAGGCAACATCATTGTGTTGTCTGAACAAAGTGCGCAAAATATTCCACCGCAGTTTCTACAGTGATGCTATTTTGTAACATAAAAACCATACATACATATCAATTAATTAAGTATTAAACATTTACAAAAACAATATAGAATGATATCCTTCAATAAATAAATATTATCTTACTTTTCTTCTCGTTAGGCTAAATTCTTTTTCACATTTTTTGCAATTGGCCACCTCATTGTCGCGTTCCCAGTGTGCTTGCGCCAATGTACTGTTAGCGGCTTCTTCCAGTTCATTGGATTTTAATATCTCTTTTTTCAACTGATCAGCTAACTCTTCAAGCGCTCGTTCTTGGCCTTGATACTTCTCTTTCAATCTGTGATGTTCCTCTTGTAAGTGAACATACTCCTATACATGTGAAAATACATTTTAATTAAACAAAATTGTAGACGATTAAAAAACCAAGGCAATAGTTTACATTTGACATTGCTTTAAGTTGAACAATTTCTTCGTCAAGACGAGTTGTTTGATTTCCTGCCTTGGATAATTGTTCCTCGAGGACAGACTTAGATTGTTGTTCTTTAACCAAATCCTCTTTTAATTTCACGATAGTTGTTGTTTGTCCAGCAATTTGATCGTGGTATCTAAGTACCGAATCAGATATTTTTTTCTTCTCCTCTTCATTTTTTTTCGATCTACGATTATCAAGGAAATAAATGGAAAGGAAATACATTTTATGCAAATAAAAATAAAAAAATGTTGCGAGCACTATTTTAATTGTGAAAACAAAATTAAAAATCATAAAAGATCCTATCATATTGTCATTCTGACCACATATTATTGTCTATAGAATATGTTTTTGAGGTATTTTAGTAAAACTGACAAATTTCTTATTTGTAAAAACAAAAAGCCAATATGACAATTTCATAGTAAATAAAATAAAATAGATAACACTATAACACAGATAATTACACATTAGTGATTATTCAAATGCTAGATTTAACTTGATTTCAAAATGATTCATCATTAGCAAGACATGGGAAGAGTCAGGTAAGACGATATAAGGAAAGAAAAACAACCAAGTCAGTGAAGATGAAGTTATCTTGCTAGATAAGAGGTTGGAAAGGTAAAAATATTAGCTTGACGTCTCGAACAGCAATGTTAATTAATAATTATTATCATCAAAAGACGTGGTATCTTTAGAATCAAGGCAATAAAAGTTCAAAATCAATCTTCTAATCTAACCATCTGGAGAATTGATTTTACTAAAACCAAATATAATCAATGCTAAAACTAATCAGTTTAATAAAAAAGAAACAGGGGAAAGGTTAACAATGAGACAATTTACCACTTTTGTTGTGCTACCAGATTTTAAAATAGGAAATGATTTTAAATACGATTTATTTTTGAAAATATTTTATTATTTTAAGTACTTAATAGTGCATTTTATAGATGGTATTATTATTATACACTTTCCAACAACCATTTATGTTACAGTTTTTAATATCGGTTTTGACGGAAAATACTTTTCAAAAACATACTCTATGTGAATAATAAAAATAATAAAAGCAAAAAATATATAACTACAAAAGAAAACCTTTAAATAAAATAAAATAATAAAAGTAAATAATCAATTTTTTTTCTAGGACAATAGTTTTGGGATATTATTGAAGATTGCATAATTATTAAATAAGTAGTTTATTCAATATAACTCACTTTATACTATATTTTATTTAAATATTATAAAATAATAATAATGGTATAAAGAAAAACAAATACTTAAAGTACTAATACAAAGTTTGGTTTACATTAGTCATCATGTAGGAATATAAGAGTGTATAGAATAATGTTTAAATGTTTATATTGGATAAACTAAATTACATTTATACACTAAAACAGAATAATTGTAAATACAAAAGTTGATAATATAAAAGATAAATAGTATAGAATCATTAACCTATTCACTTAGTTTGTGGCTCGCATCATTTTTTTATTTATTAATTCCTACGTAAACAAATTTATGCACCCAAATACAATTTTATTATAAAACATAATTATCAGACATTTTGAATAGTATAGTTTTTAATAAATTATATAATCAAAATGCCACGACATTATTATGTAAAACAATTCAACAATAGATATTGCATTTAGATGCATTGACTTTCCAAAGATAAAAGAATATGAATTAATAAATACATACACCTCTTCAGTTTTTTTCAAAGCCTCGGTCAATGTTACATTTTTTGATTCCAGTTTAGAAACAAACTCTGACTTGTGCTTAAGCGAACTCTCACTCTCCTGTAATTAAACCTTCAACTAGTTTATATAGATAAAGAAATATGAAGAAAATTAACCTAATTTTTATTATTTACTCTAATTTTGGCATTTTAACTATAAGTATATATATTTATTTAATTTAAACATTATTAGATTGTTCGGGATCAGTTAATGGTTCAGGACTTGGTGCATTCTCTTTCAAAACTGGAGTATATGACTGTCGGTGAAGTGATCTGTCTGGTCGAGAAGCCAACCTAGTGTCTGAATTTGAATTCCTCATGCCAGCATTGTTTCTCAATCTTAATTGTTGTGCGTCGTGGAACTGTAAATTGCTCAGCAAACAACCAATCTGTTCAGTTTTTTTTTGTAGCCGGCTCACCATTTCAGCTTTTTTGGTCAAGTCTTCTTCACATTCCTGATCATTTCCCGACCCAATATTGTAGATCACATTTTATAACATTTTAAATAACCAAGTCATCAACCATAATTAAATACCAATATTTAACAAAAAAATTAATAATATATATTAATTTAGTTGTGGGTCTCACCTGTAATTTTTTATACATTTCCAAATTAATCATTTTGATGTCATCTAATTGTTTTCGTAAAGAAACAATATTTTCTTGTTTTTCTCGACTTTCTTTTTCTAAAAGTTTCATCGCAACCTCCATTTCCGCTTTAAGGCTCATCTAATTACATAAAACAGTAGTAGTCTCAATTTTTGTTTATTTCGTCAACAACAATATGTACTTGTAAATGAAGTTCCTTTTCAGCTTCAATTCTAAGTTTTTTTTCATTCTCTGCAAATTGCTTAAGTGTATCCATGTCTCCAGTAGGAACATCAATAGTCACAGGTTCAGCCTGTAATATTTATAAATTTATAATATACATAACTATCAATATTACAACAAAATGTTTTCAGAAATACTGGACCAAAATGTATTTGATCTTATCCTTATTGTTATATTAAGTTTAAAATTATATATCTACATTCTTAGAATCATTTTGTTTGATCAACTGATTTTTGATTAATTGGTTTTCTTCTTTCAACATTGCATAACTGTTATTAGCCATATCAAGTTCTTCTTTAATTAAAGTATTTGAAGTTGTAAGCGTTTCTACTTTGGACTCTAAATTTGCAACTGTTGCCCTAAAAACCATTAAAATAGTTATCTTGCAACATTAAATTGTACATAAAACATACTTGAGATGGCAATTAAGTTCCTCTATATAATTTTTTTGATCAAGTACTACATTCATATTTTCCGACTCTAGACCTAAAGGACTATCAGGACAACTGACAGTGCCTTGTATATGATGATTAGGATGATGACTTGATCGCAGATACAATGAGAAATCAATTACACCTTGTTGTGAATCTAAATCTTCTTCCTAATAACATATTACAAAATTATAAACAAAACGACAATTTGCTTATTTTTTTTAAATCTTAGGAATTCTTGCCTTAATACATAAATTGCAGTCAATAACATTAAGGCCGACCATAAGGCCAACAATAATAATAGCTTCGTCACTCATCATTAAAGCATCCGGCTCAAAATAATCTACTAATTCTTCATCACGATTGTCCACTAAAATTTTTAAATAATCAGCCAACTTTTTTTGCATTAAGGCTACTCTCAACCAAGCTCTTGCTCTACCCATGTGAGTTCTGAAAAAATAGTAATTTAAAAAAGTTCATATGTTAAAATAATTTTAATTTACTTGACAGTAGGTAAATCTCGAATACTATTTGTTAATTCTTGTGCATCTGGTGTTAACTTTTCAACAGTTTGTAATATATCCCATAATTCTTTTTTGGGACCCAAAAGCCCTTTTTTAGGGCGTAACCCATGTCTTAGGACATGTTCCAAGACAATAAAAAAGTGTTGTAAAGGTGCATGATCTGAATCAAGCATACGTCCATTTTTCAGTGAATTTTCAATTAGTTCTTTAACAATCAGCTTGGATATGTTTACCAGGTTACGTCTCTCGATCAACACAGGGTCACGATCTAAATTCAACAATTTAAATTGTATTATTCTAGCATAAAATGGTATTATTATACAATTATCATGATTTTTAAGTAACTGAATACCCAATAAGAATGGTAAGTCTGGAGATGTAAGACATTGTGATGTAAAAATATCAGATAATGGATCATCAGTTATTTCACGTAAACATAACCATTCGCCCTCAACTGACACCCGGAAATTACATAAGTACAAATCTTGAGAGCTTGGGTCCAAGTTTTGCATCCATTTATTTAACATCATCGTTCTTGTTTTTAAATAAAACAAAACAATTCTTAGATAAAAGATAAGTAAGGTTCATGTGTACCAGCATTGTGTTTAAAATCAAAATCAAATTTAATAAAATAATAATACTATATTAACAAAATAACAGAAATAATAACATGCAAACACAATTTCAGGAACTATAATCCTAATGCAAAACAACACGGCTAAAAAATTAAATAACAAAAACAAAAAGTATGAAGTATGCATAGTAAATAACATTATTGTTATGTAGTATTTATTTGTTCAATGTAAACATTAAATAACACATTTAATTTTATAATAAATATCTAATAAATAATAGTTAATATAGTAACATTAGAGAAGGTAATAATTAGCATAAATAACAATAGTCTATAATCTAAAACATAATTTCGCATACAATTTAAATATAATGTAATATTATGAATACAATAGGTAAGTTATTTAATAATTATAATATTGGACTGACAATAATATACTTAAATTAACACAGTAGCATCACCCATTTCTAGGGGGGAGTGGAGGAGGCATTCTTTGTCTTGGGGGTAATGGTGGTAAAGGAACATTTGAGGGTGGTGGATAGTTCGGCATTCCATCAGAATTCGGACTTTGATCAGACCTTGCAGGTAATGGAGGTCTCATTGGAGCTGGTCTCAACTTATCCGTCCATAAGGGCACAACGTTGTTTGTGACAGTTTCAATCTCATTTTTTATAGCTAATGCCCAATTATTATCTTTAGCAGTTAAAATTAGAGTATAATTGTAGATTGTTATTTGTTTTATTTTTAAAGCATTAGCTGCAGAACGACCATTTTCATAAGTGATTTCGGCATGATCTGTGAAATATCTGGCATTTAAAATTTTACCAAAAGAACCCAAACCTTGAAGCATTATATTTTTAAATGATTCATCATTTAGAGGAAAGTCAGTGTTTTCAATATGTACTAAAATAACTCCATCAATTGGTCCATATTCATTCCATATTATATTCAATTCTCTTTCCCTCTGGGTTTGATCAACGCACAAAATTTCAATTTCATAACAAGCCGTTACAGGCCTATGATCACTCTCTTTGATTTCAGCGCGTCCATAGAATACTTGCTTACCATTTGGCCAACTATTACTTTCATTACAGTACCAAAGTACTCGATCAGTCCAAGCTGGTGTACGACATTTATCACTCGAGTCATATTCATCTGATAGTATGTCATATTTATATGTTGGAGGAAATGTTATAGGAGCTTCAAAGAAATTTTCAAATACTTTTTTATCTCTGCATTGAGCTAAAAGTTGATCATACTTTAAAACTTCTTCCAAGTCTCCATCTAGTACATGATTTATGAGGTCTAAACGATCCATATCAACCCGATAATTAAAATCTCCACACCAGTATACATAATCATTTGATTGAATTGGAATTTTCAGTTTTCTCGCTATTTCATTGAAGTCTGCATTACGATCAGCAACTTGTGATTGCCCGGCAGCAAAGTGAGAGCATATAAAACAAAGATTTGTAGCATCTAAAGTGAATCTCACCGTTACAGCTCCTTTATTACCAGTTGTTCCTCCCATTCCTGTCTTAACAAAGTCTGTAGTAACATCTTTAATATAAGGTAATAGTTCTGGTTTTACAAATATAAACAGACAAACACCAACTAGTTGTGTACTAGTAAGTAGGACATAATCCCTTTTAGAAGACAAAATGTTTTTAAGACTTTTATTCCATGAGTCTGCATTGTTTGAACTAGCAGCCATAATATTACTGGCATTTAAGTCAACAATTTCTTCAAATCCAATTGCATAAATATCAGGAAGATTATTATTATCATTTAGGAAGAACTTTTTTGATGGATCAAATAAGGAGACTTTATAGGGATCCAAGAGCCATTTGGATAATGATTCCAAGTTATTAGAATCAAAATTCAAAAAATGTTTACCTCCATTTACATTGTATGTAGCAACAGAAATTCTTAAATTACTCGTGTAAGTATAAGATTTATACTTTTTGCACATCTCTTCTGCCAAATCTGGATGACATTGCCAAGTGTTATAAGGAAGTAATGCTTTAGCTTTTGCTAACAACTCATTGTTAAAGGCATTACCTGATAATAATATATCAAATCCTTCTTGTTTACTAGAATCCAAAAGATTATTTTGAATAGTTCTGGCTGCAGATCGAGCTCCATCCAATAATTTAGATCCACCTTGTATTGCACCAGTACCAGCATATATTCTACTTATCTCATTGCCATTGTTTACCCAAAGCTGTTGAAATACTTCTTCAAATCTTGATATTATTTGATCAGTTTCATTTTGACAAAGAAATTCCAGTTGCTTGGCCAACATATCAAGAGCAAAAAATTTTTGAATGCAGTTTGTACGATCAAGACAATCGGTACAATTTATTCTCATGGTACCGGTTTGGTGTTTTACAACAGAGTTACCTTTTGCATAAAACAAACCAAATGAGTCTAAATATGGATTAACTGAGTTCTTCAATTTTTGTAGACTCTTATCACCATTACTTTTAAACTCTTGATGATAATCAAATGCAACAAATGGTATGAAAGAAAATGCTGAAGTGGAATGTTTTTGTTCAAATGCATAGCTCAAGGCAGATTCATTTTCTTTACTATTTGAATTTGCTCCACCTAGCAAATTAATGAAAATTATATTACCATAACAATCTGTTAATGATTTAACGTGTTTCTCATAAACGTCCGCTGAAGATTCAATGCTTCTTGACAGTTTTACTTTATGTGCTCCAACATTCATTCCTGGTTGTTCCCAAAATAGTGGTACACTACCTCTTATTTGCACAAAAGAAGTAACCTCATCATCCAAGTATATAACTTGTTCGGTTTCAACAAAATTTGCAACATAACCATCATCATTACAACCACGGACATTGAACCTAGTTCCAGCTCTTCTACAACTCAATCTTGATATTATAGCGATTCTGGCTTGCTTGTGTCTTGCATAAACAGTTTTTATTTCAATACTGCCACAAACAATTTTCATTAACCATTGGGAGGTATCAATTCCAAAGTGAATAAAATATACATGTAAATTGCGGTTCCAAAAGAAACGTTTATCAGGAACACAGTTATTCCATTGTCTCTGGGCGCACAGGGTTAAATCAAAACGAACATCTTGTGACACATACCTCGAAAAATAAAAACTACCACTGTTTAAAAGCTTCCGTACCTCGGATGCATAGTCATCGCTCTGTTGCTTACGCAATGAAACAAACGTGGTCTGCGTGATTTTGAATATTTCTGCATCAGATATCTTGCCAACTGACTGGCACCCAGTTACCAACACCAGGAACAGTGCTACTTTATTCTCGATATTTACATTCAAAACACCAAGGCATCCGTAGGCGTCTACTATTTTCACACACTGTCGTTTGAACGTGTCGAACTCACTGACCGTGGCCGTACACAGAGTGTTGTTTTCAAACAACAACACTTCAGCTTGCATACGATTTTCCAGAACAATGCAATGACTGTGGTTGGACGACTTATCATATGCTCGGTAAATTTTGCCAATGATTGACGGCGTCTGTTTGGCGGACATTGTTCTGAGCCTCCTCCCCCGACTTATAACGTTTACTCAAACATACATGGGTGGTAAGTAGGTATCTCGGTTTCGGACTAAAAACAAAAAAACAAAAAAATATAAAAAAAAACCAAAACAAAAAAACTGACAAGCGATGTACAATGCAATAATATTATGGTGGTCATATAACAATATGGAAAATCATAAAGCAGTGTCACGGATTATTGATCACTAGGTATACATTATTATGGAGAAGCACAAAAAACGGAAGTAAACAAAATAAAAAAAACACACAATATTATAAAGCCACCACAATAGCTGGTTCACATTTATCGAAATATTGACTTGACGAACTTACAAGACTTGACTCGAGAATTCGTTTTATTAAGACGGTGTACGACGAGAACGCCTCTCGAAACGTACACGACACCGTCCCACTAGGTGTCGGTGGAAAGTATTGATTTCTATTTTCTTGCTCGGCCGCTGGGGGCTGCCTGCCTTCTGCTGCTGCTCGGTGGTCGCGCTATATAGTAACAAATACATTACGCGGTGAACACAGGATACCACGATAGTACGGACGTTTGTTGTGTTTGTAGATACTATTCACTAGATTGTGCCTTGGGATGAGTATAGTTGTTGTAAGCGACATCGATACCGCGCGCACTCGCTTTCATGACGAAATCGAAGTGGTTACGATTGTGGCCCGCGAAAAAAATCATCGGCGACCGCGGCAGACACAAAAAAAATTAGAAAAACGACGAAAAGTAAAAATAATATTATTAATTATTATGTCAACACGACGTCCTCGTAATTTTTAAATGATAACTATCGATATTGACTATTGAGTATTGACAATGGTCTAATATTTTGAATCAGCAACGGCGTATCGAACAATCGTTTTGCAGAACAATCGATCAAAAAAAAGTAACACAATCGATTTTGAACGGTTTTGCTCAACGCTCTTGCGCAGCGGCGGCGGCGGCGTAGTGAAAACATAACACACGTCAATACGTCATACACTGCAGCCGACCGCAATCCTAAATAATTGGCGATTGTGATTTGTATTTTGTGTACTGATTTTTTTGCCGCTGTGGGACACGTATGCGTGCGTGTTTTATGTGTAGATGTGACTTGACGTCAATGTTTTTTTTTAACACTATTAACCGCACTGTAGAAGGAACACGCGTGTTGTCTCACTTCGTCATATCTACGATATTACATTTAAAAAAATTCAAAGTAGTACGGATTACGGAAAGATACATTTATTATTTACCTAACGCAGTTCTGAAGTGGTGGGTACTGGGTTTTCTTAACTCAGTACTCACTAATAGGGTGAGGACCAAGGGGGCGATTTAGATTCAAAAAATTAGCTAGGTCTACATAATATTAAATATCCAAATTTAATGAAATATATAGAAGAATAATACAATAACATCGTAATATCGTGTATAATATTATGTTGTATAATATGTAAAATGTCAAATGTCGATTTGAAGGACGCTCTTGGAATGGAAAAAAATTTCAAGAATATTTCAATTTCAATTTATATTCATTCGTTTGATGACGATTAGTCACAACTATATAAGTATAGATATTAAGTTTAAATTTTATAGTAAATAAAATATTCATCATACATGTATATTATAAAATAATAATAACAAATTTTAATAACAAAATTAGTTTTTTTATTCCATATATTATATAATTAGGTAGGCAAGAGTGAAATGCTTTTACGTATCAAATGCGTAAGGGGTGGCATCAGCACTATAAACTAGCCCCTTGTATCCACGTTGGCACTAGCACTTAACTTGTATTTTAAGAAAAATACAGCTAAAACATAATAGTCCAGGAGCTACAGATGGTTTGACATTATTAACTCACTTGATTTTTTATAGTCTATGTAGAATCAGGCCTCCTGAATACAATAAACAAATCGGCAAAATGTTGTTCGGCTTAGGAGGGGAGGGGGATTGTTATTTTTCGTTGAATCGTATGCGAGATACCTACAAATCCTCAAAGTATTGGTGGTTGAAGGAGGTGTTACAGGTACGAGTTATCGCTGGAAGTATCGTTTTTATGTAGTTACCTACATATCACAAAGGAGACCTACGCTTTTCAAATCAAGAAAAAAATCTGTTGATCTTAAATTTATAAATGTTTTTCTTCATGTAAGCGGGTCTCATCTTTCACCCCAAAAGGTAGGTGAACGCGGCATTCATTATCCACTCTGTTTTTTAATTTATAAAGAGTACCTATAACTGATAAATTCGATACTATTTGACAATTTTGACACTTTGACGTAAAGTAACAATATTGACAACAATGACAACTGTTGTATTTTGTACCTGATTAATTGAATATCCTATTACACCTATAAGCTAATTTGACCGTTAAGGAAAGCCCTGATTAAGGGTGGGGGGCAAGAGTGGCATGGTCCCGGGGCCCATTAATTTTGGGGACCCATCTTTATCCTCAAAATATATTTTTTTAACGCATTCAATACAGTTAAAAATATATATATTTAAGTAGGTAGGTACAGGTAGTAGGTAAATAAATAATAATTATAAAATAAAATTGTTCTCAATTTTATATCACGAAAAATTACTATAAATATTAAATAGAATAATGAACCGTGTTGGCAAACACAATTTTGATTATGTTTTTTTTTTCTGAGCATTTTCGATTACTGATTTAACTATATAAGTATATAGGTAGTTATAAGAAAAAAATATTTAGCTCTTGTAAATTAGGTATTTCAGTTAAAAGTATTAATGCATATTATACTAAACTTTCGAGGACCATAGTTAAGTAATAACCTAGCAAACTAAAATTGACCAATTGACTGTCAAAATGTTTAGACAAAAAGCTTTACCAGAATCCATAAAAAATATAGTGGTTAGGAGGTACCATTTGAAAAAATAAAGTCGATTTTATTATTGGTACGACTGAGTGTTTAAAAATTTTGAAAATGTTATAAAAAAATGCCTGTACTGCTATACAGTAGTCAGTAGGTATCTAGAGATAACTGTAATGGATATGTTAAATTTGAATTCAATGATATTAACAACTATTATAATATACGAAAAACGATTCTGAGTAAAGAAGGTCCTGTATTACTAAGTATATTTGATAATATTATTCTTATTAGAGTAATATGTTTTACTATTAGACATTGGTAAATAGTAGTACAGTACCTTGAATTTGATAACGTCATTGTGTATATAAAATATAATAATATACTTTAAACGTTTCAAGTATTACCCTCGAATAATATTTTTAAATTACAACAAAATAATAAAAATTTTGTTATTCTTTGTTTAAATGTCTAATGTTGTCCAAATTTGAACTTAAAATATCTATAAAAAAAACGTGTTATATATATTTTTTGAATTTTTGGTTTTACATTCACAAGTTATACAGTTTAAACAACTTATATAAGAACCTTGTTTTAAATTTTCAATTCTTAACTTTAAAAAATGAAGACTAAGTTTGCAGAAGAGTTTTGTCAAAATGACAGTGAAAATGTTAATAAAAAATATCGTGCTTATGTATCTTAAGTAGGATACAAGTATTGGTTCCTCACCTTGTATACAATTTTCAAGGTTTTTGACGCAACAAAATTTTTTTATCGATTTTTATAGAAAAAAATCTATACAATTTTCAAAAGTCTATAACAAGTTCAAAACGAGTCAAAATATAGAAATATTTAAAAAAAAACATCTGGCAAAAATTTCAAGTATCTACGTTATTCGTATCTGAAATACAACGATATAAGAAAAGCGTTAATTTACGAATTAATATCCAATATCATCAAAATTTGAACTTCTAAAGCTCATAAAAGATTAATTTGACATTCCGGTACACTTTTCTTTTTTTTTTGTTAAATGTAGAACATTTTATATTAATTTTTAACTAGGTAATAATAATTTGCAAATCGTCGTTAATTTGAAGAATTATGTCAAGGCGCTCAACTTTTTTTTAAATTACACTAATAACAACTTATGAATTATGAGAAACTTATAGTACTGTTTATAAATACCAGTCGTGAAAAGTATTTACTTACTTTTGATACTAAGATTTTCTTATAGAATCGTCCATAAATTTGGCTACTGGTATTAAAATGTCAAGTCGGAAGAAAAATGTGTATATTGTATAGACGATAATTGAAAAAAAACTGAAATAAATTAATAAACCGAACATTTATCTCATGCCTATAAAATAGCTAAAATAAAGTCAACATATTTTTAAAAAATGGTCCAATAAATATTTAGTGAAAATTCAAAGTATTTAAGGTTCTTCGAAGATACTAAGTAATAGTTTTTGAGCTACACCAATAAAAGAAAATTTATTTTCGCAAAAACTGTATTTTCCTATATTTTTTTTGTTTTTCTTGATTATTTTCCAAATAGTGAGAATTTTTAATTTTTACTTCTCAACAATACAAATTACAAACTAGATCCAATTTTCTATCCAAAACCATCCTCAAAGTTTAAAATTGAAGCATTATTTTGACTAATTAAAAAATTAAAAACACATCGTTGTACAATCAATAGGTACAAATGCATTAATAAATACATTCAATGCTCTGTTCAGAAACTAAAAATTAAAATTACATTAATACTTGATGACCGGGTGATTGGGTCATACTCGAGAATCATATTATGCTATAAACCCGATAATTAATATTTATTATAGAGTGGTTATGGCTAAAAATAAATTGTATTAGGTAATTTTTATTTATGGACTTTGATGGTTATATTTTAATTTGTTGTTTTTACATATTATACATTTATAGTTTATAGTTTATACCCATATATTAATTAATAATAACTATTTGCATAGTAAAATTATCTGCCAAGAGTGCCTACTGTATTAGCCATTGCAATAATTTTTAGTTCACGGAAAACTTAAAAAAAAAAATGGTGGGCAAGCGGGTGTCGCTCTGCTGTACAGTAGGTTCCAAGTGGGTCACTGTAATGGATGGTGTTAAATTTTAATTCAATGATATTGTATCATTG